GCGACAGGCCATTGCAATCAGTGGAAAATATCACTTGTCTAAAGCGACTCGAACCCAGCTCGCCGCGGATCGTTGAGTCCGCCATTGACTCTCCAATCAACTGACCTGCTGGACCTCGGACAGTTACTTGTAACCTGACTCTTAACCTTTATAATACACGCCCTGCCAGCACGCCTTGTTCCTTTTTATTCGTTTTTGACTTCACAAAACTGCTTTGTCATTCGCATTTGATGCTTTGTCTGGCTAGGTCACCATTAGTTATAGTCCTTGGATGCCGTAGAAATGCAGCTGGGTCGACAGCCAGCGGATTTTCCTAGGGCAGCGCCGTACTGGGGGATAAACGGAACATTGTGGTTAACCAAATCATTCAGGTACTGGCAAATTGTAAAGATTGGAGCAATCTACCGGCCGACTGTATAAAAGATATATATATATATATATATGTATATATATATATATGTAATATTGTTTTTAATATGGATAACCCAATGTTATCTTAATCGTGACTTCCAGGTAATGTCCATGTGAATGTGGTTCAGGAGTGCATTAGCTACCCCACGAAATTCCGCTTGTCTCGCGTTCTTTTGTCGCGGAATAGGAGAAGGGTCGGGTACCTGCCCTCCTCCCGGCAGATCTCAGGTGACGCGGAGCGCCGTGGCAGTGCGGGACTTTGTACCAAGATGTGTTTGGCAAGAACAGGTGCCAGTAAAGCGCGGGTACGTTCAAAGGCTTCTGTCTTATTCAAAGCATGCCTTTGAGCTTGCAACGACTCTCCACGGTTCTGCACATGGGGTGTTTAGGAACGAACCAATGATAACCCCAGTTTCATTTCCCATCGCCATTGGGACGTCAGCTCCCGCAGATTTTCTTTAATGCTTACACTCGCCCAGGCGTGGCCGAAATTAGCTGTCTGTGCGAAATCGAAAGCGGAGGAGCACAAAGCGTGATACTCCGCTCCCCGTTCTGCCATCCCCACACACACATTCCCAGCCACTCTCTCCACCGCCGACGGCTAACGAGCGCCCGCGACTGCCCAGACGGGAGCGGGGAGGCGCTGGGCAGCCGGCCGGTCATTTGCGGTCAGCGGCGCGTTAGCCGCCCAGCAAGAGCCGGTAATTACCGCATTACCGGGCACCCAGTGACCCGTGGGCTGCCTCGGCACGTCTGTCACGGCCCGGTGGCGGCATTAGGCCAAGGTCAGGTGTCGCGCCAATGTAGGTCATTGTCGGTGCTAGTCATGTCACTCCGAAAACACACATTTGGTGAACAGAAATCCGATGTGGACTAATTTTGGTCTTCTTCGGTCATTGGTGTTTTTTTTGGTCATTTTTTGGACAAGCAACTTTTGCATATTTTTGATTGGCATGCATGCCAATTTTTAAAGAATATGCTCACAAGTGAGCAAAAATAGACGACATTTCAACTTTATCCAGCTGGTTGTGTGAATTATGTGCATGTTTTGGTTTGAGACACGTGCTTGATGCCCTAAAAGACCCATTAAAATTAAGTAACATGGCGAGGCTTATTCTCTCAAAGTGAAGTCGAACTGAGCTGATGTCCGGCGAGTAAAAAAAGAAAATAAGGTGTGCTTTTTAGGCAGCACCACTGACGAACATGTCACTGAATGAGCGATAGATGTGGTCAAATACACTAAAAAGTTCACTCATCATACTCAGGCATACGACATGCTGTAAAACAAAAACATGTTGAACGTACAATTACGTAAAAATGAGTCCTAACGATCAAATACAACATCCCGGTATAAACCAATCCACCCGATTCTGAAATACAATAGCGAAACCTGACTGCGACGTACGGACACTAAGTACCTTGCAAAATGTTATCAAAACTACAACGTTGCGCAGACACCACAACGTAAGCAATTTGCCATTTTGGATAAGCAAATGTGAAATGGATTTTGAATCGAATGAGTGCGTTGGAATGAAAGCAAAACAGTGCTTTTCATAGAGCCGTGTCCAGAGCAATCATGGGAGTGCAATGAGGCTTTTTCCGGTCGATTCCAACTTATTTTCGGATTTTGTCATGTTATTTTGTGCGAATAAATACATTTCCAGAAAAAGTATCGCTCCAAATTAACTTCTACTTCCCTGATCTTCCTGCTTCTGGGAGTAGCATTTTCCTTAAAAAAACACAAAAAACAGTGCGGTCTCTCTAACCCAAAGATATGTGTCGTGGATGATGTTATTTGGTCAAAGCATCGATTGTTCTTTTGCGCCTTACTCTAGTACAGGTCACGAAAACCTGTATCTCTTCGGTGACTTTTTCAGCTCTTCTTCACCTAACGAGGTTATGCAGTGGTTCCTCTCGCGTACTGCAGATGGAATCTTCTTGACGCCTATAATATCCATAATTTAGCGTATTCGACGTGAAGAGGATTGTATACCTACGCTTGGTATCAGAGCGTGAAAATTTGGGGCCAATGTAGGTATTGGAATTGACGTCATTGCAGCAAGCAATATACTTGCTTTTGTTTTGAGTTACTAAAAATGACTTGCTAAAATTACGTGGAGCATTTCCACACACATAATTTCTGGTTTCAGATTCAAACAAATGACCTACAGCTCGCTGAAATTAATTTAATGTCAACGGCCGTACCCAAACCTGGCAGTGGGATCTACATCTGTGATGTTAGTGATTCTTCACGATAAAACTAAGACACCGCCACTAGTTCATGTTACATGCATCCTCTCCTGGGATCCTGTCGCACGCTTTGTGTTACCATGGAACACACCAGTCACAAATTGTGCTTTTCTTCCTCAAGTGTGCAATTGATATCACCTGGATTAGCTCATTGCGAGACGAGCATTCCTCCGACATGGCCCTTTCCCTGATGCGCCGCATCAATGAAAGAGCAGCCCTCACTGATCCCGCCGGTCTTTGCAAGGTAACATATAACTCTGCCATCTGTCTGAATGATAAATAGGTTCTCACAGCCTCGTAAACGCGTTCTATAAATGTTTGATAAATGCTCGTAGTGCCCGGAGATTTTGGCAAAGGTTCCACTTACTTCTGTAATTGGCACGTTGCACGACTTTGTAAAAAATTGAAGTGACAGCGCGCGTGCATGGGAAAGATGGCAAAATGAGTTGCGTCATAGCTGCCTTGGGCGCTGCAGGGTTGCAAGAGGTGAATTTTTTCAGGCTCGGCTTAGTACAAAGAGAAATGCCTTTTGTCCTGCTGAGCATGTAATGTGAGTGAAACTATGCCTCTTTCATCGCGCTGCGCTGTGATGTATTTTACAGACTGTAATTTAAGGGATATGTACAAGCACCTAAAGGAGACGACGAAGACATTAATGACACCGACAAATGTGTAGCACAGTATCTTGTTGGTGCATCCGTATGAACTCTACATCGTTCTTGTAAGGTTCTCGCTCTTGCTTGGTTGATATAATCTGGGTATATCAGGTTTGAAGAGGAGTGTCGAGTGTAGTCACTTATGCATTGTATTGCATTCATCGACTGACATATCCTTCGTGTAAACTTGATGTTCTTGCTCTTAGTAGCGTGACCAATACGTCACGAGGATGCGAAACCCAAATGCGATGTCAAACAGGGATGTGGGGCGGGTCCAAAATTATCAGCTCAACCATCCGCTACATGGCTACACTGCAGGCTGTGTTATGTAGCACTCTTTACGTTGAATTGTCTACCACCATGGTACCGCACCACCAACGTCTCACCATCGACCGACGATGGGCAGTTTGGAACAGGACCCATGTAAGCGTTTCACGACCTGGACCCCCCTTCCACCGCATTCAGGGCTCCACATTGTCTGATGCGCCCCAAAGCAGGTACGTGTAGCTTACTGTTGCTAACTAGAGGTGGGGGGGGGGGGGGGGTCGAACGGTGCCCTGACACTGCACGGTTCAGGTCGCGGCGCCACCGGTCGCTCAATGCGGCGGCCCTCAGCGTAGCCAGGAGACCGTGATGAGAACAGCGCATCAACGCTGGCGGGAGCAACGTTGTTCCTTCGTACACAACTGTGCTGTGTTTATTTCAAGGGAGACGGTATCCTACTACCCAGAATGCTACCGTCACCTCCAGTGACAAACCTCAGGAAGCAGCGACATCGGTATGGCAGCCGCCGGAGCCGAACTGAACGGAATACGCGCCGATAAGGGTGCGAAATGGAAACACATTTTCCACCTCACCCGGGGCCAGCCGCATCCGGCGATAAATCCGGCGCTCAAGGCGCACCGGCATGCTGACTGTGAATTTGCATCTGAATGTACGGCGGTGGGTGCCGCTGAGAAATGTGGCGGTGGCAGCGTGCCCTGCACGTGCGCCGGCTCGGTGCCGTCGGCGGGCGGCGGCCCACCAGTTCCGGTCACGGTGTGTGACGGCTTGACCCCGTTACTGGTGAGCCAGGGTTGCTCGGCCCGGCAGAGACCTGACGTTAGGCAACGGTGCCGTTCGACATAACATAGGCCATCCGCGCAAAACGGCGAGCTTTTTCAAACAGCAAGATCGTTTGTGAACTATAAAAGGTACGCTAACAACAAGGTTTTTTAAAACAAATTATCCCGAATGGTTTTGCATGGGTGACTTCGGATTCAGAGTACCTGCTAATCATAGCTTGTTGCATGTACCCCGAACCCACCAGCCAAGCGTGCCGTCCAGTTCAACAGCTAATTTCGCCTCCGCCCTATCGCCAGACAGGAATGCGGAGGGTTTTACGTGCCGCACAATGCTGCGACACGGCCGCCTCGGGTCTGGGTTGAGCCTCGTTGGTCAGTTGCCAGCTGGCCTTTCCATTTCAGTCGGGTCAAGCAATGCGCTCTCTCTGGGACTCGTACCCAGTGCTGCTGGATTACGAGTCCAGCATCTTTTCCCAGGACCACGGAGGCTGCACGGATTTCCAAGACGGCTGTCGTTTGGCGCGGATCGTATCAAAGCAATGCATGTCTTACGACAACCGATGCGGCGAAACTGTGCTCAAGCTGGTTCTAAGAGCCAAAAACCTTTTTATCGTTGCAGGAGCTTGGAATCAAACCTCTTCAACAAGAGCAACGAACTTCAGGAGGAGATTGGCACGAAGCGATTCGACCTTCAAGTGGCGCAGATCCACTACGCGGCCGTCAAAGCTCAGGTAGGTCCATACAGGACCTCGCTGAGGGTCTCCAGTTCAAATTACACCGCTCAGACCAGAGTGCGGTCTGAGGCAGACGTGGGCAGCGCCAGCGGCAAGGCAGTGCGATGGGTGACGGAGGAAACACACTGCGGACAGTGATACCCTGCTGACGTCATTTACTGATCATACCCGCAGCCCGGGGTGAAATGCGATGCCTGGCGAGAGGCCATTCCCGCGCTCCAATCGAAGTTCCGTTTGATCGTGAGGCGTGATTCCATGCATAGCGAGATTGTGTATCGCAGAAAAGTCTGCCAAGATGTTGGAAATTGTTCGCCGGCTAGTCTCGTGATATGAAATGTTACGAGAAGCCTGGAGGGATCTGACGGCAAGCTTTGCTCTGAGAGCGAGAGCAGAACTCCTGGTTTAAGGTGGTGTTATGAACGGGACAGGCCAGATTCCGCGCGTCCGGGTTGCGTCATCCCAGCGAAGGAGGCACCGGAGGGCGAGCCGAACCCCGTATGGATCGACGCCTGGCTCGGTGGTCCGATGAACCGCGCGTGGCACGCGATCCCCCACGTCACCGATGACCGCCGCCGGTGCGGTGACGGCGCAGTACGTCATCAGCCCGGGAGTCATGCGTCAGACGCCAGCGCTCCTTAAGCCCGGTTAGATCCCGAACGCGCTGTTGTTACCCACTCTCCCGCGAAATGGAGAACGACTGCCATCGGGCTGCCGTTAGAAGGCTGGTTCAATGAGCTACTCTACAAAGATGCTATGCATACCGCACCGTATTGCTGTTGAAAGGGTTATTTATGGCGTTCGGTATCGTGGGATAAAGCCAGCACAGTTCCCCGCCGGTGAGCCCCACTTCTCACACAGTTCATTTAGCCTACACCCAGCGGCTAGTTGAATATGACACACTCGGGTGAGGGTCAATATCACATCCCCCAGATACCAGAAATGAAGAGAGCTAAAAGCAGCAAACTAGAGCGACATGGTTATGAGATTCAGATATCTGAAATTTATTCAGATATATGCCGTGACATTCGGGTCAGCTCAGGTTAAAAAGGCCCAGTTCGATTTCAATGTTTGATATTTTTCTTACGAAAACCTTTTTATGCAACCCCTTTAAACTAACCACACTTTCCAAGCAAAAAGTCAGGGTCATTTCAGGGCGGTCGTCTTGCGTAACTCTTGGGTCAAAATGACAAAGAATCTTTTAAGGTCGCTCTACAGATTTTAATTCAAAATCAGCGTGAATGACTTCTCAGTTCGTATGTTTTTCGGGCAAAAGGTTGATTAAGCTCATGTTATGTTAATGGCCTTCTAAAAGTCAAACAGGGTCACTAACCCGATATGAACACCAGTGACCTTTTACTGAGATAAACTATCCAGGTTGAATATGGTTGCATGACGAGATCTGAGGGCACTTGGTTTGCCGATATTGAGAGTGACCTTGTTCAGCTTTCTTTGTCTTCAAGACTCTCTCGGAAAACTTGGGAACTCAAAATTGGCATAAGTGAGTTTTATACAGGCTTACCTGCCCTGTAAATCGCGTGTCTCTAGCTACCTTACTTTACCAGATCTCACGGGACGAATTGCTCCCCCACCGCGCGCGTGACTTTCAACCGGCCACATGGGCGTGTACTAAAACACTAAAACTACAAAGCACAACCTCGAGCAGGCCTGTAACTGCGGGCACCGTCGGCAGTGACCGACCTGCCGAGGCCCGTAGCGCCGCCCTGACGCCGCCGTCCGGTGGCAGTCTCCTCCATACCATCAGCCGGGTGGTTGTCTGACGATCGGCGGCGTCTTCGTTCGCCGCCGTCCCAGACACGCGACGAATCAGGACGGCACCCGAGGCACGCCACCGGCAGATCACGGACCGCCGGCGGCAGCGGTCGGCGGTGGCGCCCGCCGGCCCGGCACCCGAGGCCGAGCCGCGGCCGCCTGCTGTGCCCGCGGAGCACGGCCCAGCGGCGGCACCCCGTGCGCCCGCGGAACACGGCCCAGCGGCGGCCGCCCACTGTGCCCGCGGAGCACGGCTCAGCGGCAGCATCCCGTGCGCCCGCGAAGCACGGCCCAGCGACGGCCGCCCGCTGTGCCCGCGGAGCACGGCCCAGCGGCAGCATCCCGTGCGCCCGCGGAACACGACCCAGCGGCGGCCGCCCGCTGTGCCCGCCGAGCACGGCCCAGCGGCGGCATCGCTGGGCGAGGTCCGAGGCATGCACCAGTCCAGCAGGCAACCAATCAAAGAAGAGCTTAATAGCATGGAGATAGTAGTATAGTTAGATATTAAGCTGAACAAGGCTTTGTTGCTGTGACCAATGTTTTAGGAGTTCATGCCATCTTTTGCCAGCATCCCGTTGACGAGGCGCTGCTCAGAAGCCTGCGGTTCGTCTCCTCAGCATCCAGATGACGCGTCAGCGCGGCAGATTGTGGGGCTCGGCAGAAAACATTGTAAGACGCCAGAATTCAAACTTCTCCAACTTACAGCAAACTTCTTGTGATCTCGTGGAAAACGGCTTAGCCAACTCCACCAGTGGCCTGTTCGCTTTACGTAACTCTAAATCTCCGACAGCAGGCACAAAGGGATGCCACTTTCAGGGGCGCCGCTCCCATGCTTGACAACAACAGATGATCTTGCGCGGGCCGCTAAAGCCTCGCCTGGCTGCGGGGCCAGCGTTGGCCCCCTCTGGCTCAGACGACCATCAGCAGGGCTCGGCACCAGCTGAGCAGGACGACAGCAGCAACACCACGACATCAATTATTCATGCCGTGTTTTGCATAGCTGGACGTGTATCGATTCAGTTAAGCTAGAATGGATGGAGCATGTAGCTGATAGAGATGCACTGCTGAGTGCGTCCACGGAGCAAGGTACACTGCTGAGTGCGTCCACGGGGCGAGGTACACTGCTGAGTGCGTCCACGGGGCGAGGTACACTGCTGAGTGCGTCCACGGAGCGAGGTACACTGCTGAGTGCGACCACGGGGCGAGGTACACTGCTGAGTGCGTTCCACGGGGCGAGGTACCATGCTGAGTGCCGTCAACGGGGCCGAGCGTACACATGGCTGAGTGCGTCCACGGAGGCGCAGGTACCACTGCTGAGTGCGTCCGTGGGGCGAGGTACACTGCTGAGTGCCGACCACGGGGCCCCGAACGGTACCACTGCCCCTGAGTGCGTCCACGGGGCGAGGTACACTGCTGAGTGCGTCCACGTGGGGCGAGGTACACTGCTGAGTGCGTCACGGGGGCGAGGTACACTGCTGAGTGCGTCCACGGGGCGAGGTACACTGCTGAGTGCGTACCACGGGGCGAGGTACACTGCTGAGTGCGTCCACGGGGCGAGGTACACTGCTGAGTGCGTCCACGGGGCGAGGTACACTGCTGAGTGCGTCCACGGGGCGAGGTACACTGCTGAGTGCGTCCACGGGGCGAGGGTACACTGCTGAGTGCGTCCACGGGGCGAGGTACACTGCTGAGTGCGTCCACGGGGCGAGGTACACTGCTGAGTGCGTCCACGGGGCGAGGTACACTGCTGAGTGCGTCCACGGGGCGAGGTACACTGCTGAGTGCGTCCACGGGGCGAGGTACACTGCTGAGTGCGTCCACGGGGCGAGGTACACTGCTGAGTGCGTCCACGGGGCGAGGTACACTGCTGAGTGCGTCCACGGGGCGAGGTACACTGCTGAGTGCGTCCACGGAGCAAGGTACACTGCTGAGTGCGTCCACGGGGCGAGGTACACTGGTGAGTGCGTCCACGGAGCGAGGTACACTGGTGAGTGCGTCCATGGAGCAAGGCCTGCGGAAGGCTGATGGGGTGAATCCACCGCACCGGCGAGTGCACTCAGTGCTTGATTGTGCCTCCAGTAAGACTCCGCCATGAACTGTGCCAGCTGTTTTTCGTCGTATATTAAATGCACATGCTCATCTAATATATTTGTTTGCATCATGTAATGTGTATTTGCTGCATTTTTTTGTATCTATTTGTTTCATAAAGCAATTTGCTTTTGACAAAAGCGCGAGCATAGTTTTACGAAAGTTTAACGATGAGGTATTAGTAACACGGGTCGATTAATCTTTCGAAACGTTCTCGTCCTCGTCTGTTGTGTTAAAATGTACACAACATCCTACCGGATGAGCTCAGTTGACAGAGTGCTGGACTGATAATCAGAAGAGCCTGGTTCAAACCCCTCCAAATTTATTCGGACTGTGACGCTTACATGACTGAAACACAAACATCGTCCAGTCGTTCTCAGGGCTCCATAACACCTGAAAACGGCCCAAGAATTAACTGGGCGAAACGATGTGTACATACTAACACACCTGACGAAGAAAACAGCCCAAATAATTATTTCGTCAGTGAAGAGCGTAAGTTCTCGACATGCAGTTAACTGGTGGTTGGCAAATAACCATGTAACAGCTGATCGCCGCTGGCCTATTAAACATACCCATCATCATGCGGACATAAAAAACAAACCTTGTTCGTGCCGAGCTAGCGCATAACAAAACTTCCCATAAACGTACATGTAACCACCTCGTCAAACCAACTGTCATGCCAGGCGCGAATAGGGCTTATATGCGAACAGCTCAGTGCTGTCTGGAACACTCCATCTGACATGTCTTAGCGTGGGATGTTTTTGGGTAACCTGGTATTCACTGGCAGTTTCATCAACCGCTTCTTTTCACAACTGACTCGAAACAACAACTGTTTTCAAAGCTACATGGATTGGAAAACATTGCCCATGCGCGATGCCTGTTCCATTGCAAAGCACTCCTCTATACGTATCACGCACTCATCTAGCCTGGGTGCTCCTGTCGCGCGTCAGCACCGTGTCTCCAGATCGGATTCGGCTTCTGGTGGCGGTGACTTGGGTTACGACTCCGCCCGGCACTGGCGCCACTCCGCTCGGATGTCCTGACATACCATTAGCTGGCACGGCGTGGCGGCAATCCTGGACGCCGGCAATTAGTTCCAAGAAATGGGGTCTCAGCTCCACGTGTCAGCGCCCAACAGC